ATATATATATATATATATATATATTTGAGATGTACAGAATATATACCTGGGGTGGGAGTATTGGTGCTTAAGAGATTATTAACAGGCTTTTGAAAACAGTTTCCCATCTCTCTCTCTCTCTCTCTCTCTCTTATGAATCTTGGATTTACACACACAAAAACACACACACACACACATATATATATATATATATATATATATGTATATATATATATTTTATGATATTTAGAAGACCAAGAAGAGACTATATATTATCCTATTGACTTTTTTTTTGCTTTGTTGAATAAAATTAAGAGTTTTCACACTATACACTATAATAAAATCGGATTTATTGGACATTCTTAATTTCTAAGCGTCCTAATAGATCTTTTTATCATAAAACGTAGTTCATAGGACAAAAAAAAATAAAACGTCTTATTTAAAGGCGTCGTAATAAGTTTATATGACGTTTTTTGTGTTGTAATAAGATTTTTAGAACACTTTTAATATAAAAGCGTCTCATTAGCAACTTTATAAGACACTATTTTGAAAAAATTGTCCTATAAAAACAAATGCCCTATTAAAAATTGAGTTTATAGGACACTGTGTCTTATAAAGTTGCTAATGCGACACTTTGTATTAAAAATGTCCTAAAAAACTTGTTAAGACGTCTAATAACGTCATATAAACTTATTACAACACCTTTAGATATGATACTTTATATTTTGGTCCTATAAAGCGGTCTATTGGGACGCTTAGAGATTGAGGGTGTCATGTAAACTTAATTTTGTTATAGTGATATATGTGATCGATGAGGTTAAAACCGTCTTTTAAATAATCGAAATGATTGTTGTTGGTTATAAATTGAAAATTAATCCATTTGACACCTAAAATGAAAAAAATGAATATACTTTTATATGATAATAAAAAGTAAAAACCCAAAAAAGCCCTTCTCATTTTTGAATGTACGAGTGTTTCACATATGAATATGATTGTTCTACAATTAAATAAACACATAATCAAACCCATTTCACCTTGCATTACAAGGCTCCTTCATTAGGCCTCTTGGACACGTTACTTTGATTTCCCACAAATAAAGTTTGTTGACCTTTAGGTCAACACGATCGGATCCGTGAACGTTGATCGAGGTGGAGTGGAGATTGACGGGTCGATAGGTAGCTTTTGTTGGGCAAGTGAGGTTTCGCCCATTCCACCAATTTATGGTGCGAGCTTGGTCGAGTGGTGTCAAGAACGCGTATTCCAAGCGTGGACCTACATAGAGGAATACAGTTGCACTGGCCACCACTTCATTTTTTTTTATTAACCTGGATATCCAACTCGATATGCGAGCCGACTAATCCCAGGGTGACCACTTGTTGTAGATAGCCCGTAGTCATCGTATTTGAACCTCCGTGACCACAAGGAGATTTTTTATTCCTCCTTGGATTCCTCCTGGTACTTTTGATCTTTAGAGTCAAACTCAAACCAATTAGACACTATCCTTATGTTTCACTTCATGGTTTTGTCGTAATGAAAGAAAATTATGTTTATGAGCCACTGTATGGTTTCTTTAGGCGTCGTTGTATTTTTTGAAACTAAACTAAATGACACAAGTTTGTAACGGTAGAGATGGTTAATGTTGTTGCATAAAGACTCACCATTTTGAGGATCCAAGTTTACGAGTCCAAAATCCGATAGTTTCGCATTAAAATCCTACATTTTTATAAGATTTGGATGGCTTGAATTTCTCTAAAAAAAACCTCGCCGGAACACAGTTTTCGACGAATTGACCGTTTCCGGCAAAAATATCTACCCAAAAAAAAAAAATCAGTTTTCAAATAGTAAATTTAGAGAATACGAAACCAAATTTTGTTGTCCAAAATGCCAACCCTTGAATTCAATAATTAGAGAGACCAACCACAAGAGTTGTGCGTGATTTGTTTGAGCTTGGCTTCAAAGGTCAAATGTAACAGGAGGTCTCAAGTTTAAATTTAAGGAGAAATAAAATCCCCTTATGACCGTGGAGGTTCAAATACGGTAAATCCATGCTATCTGTAAAGCAGATGGTTATACTGGGATTAGTCGGCTCACATGACGAATTGGATATTCAGGTTAATCAAAAAATAATTAGAGAAACCTTTATGAATTTTGACCGGGTCTCCACTCATAAAATAAATATTTTAAATATTATAATGAAAGACCGAAGAGACAATTAATTGACTCAATAATTAAAGGAAATACATTCTTGGGTATAAAAGTAGTCTTAAATTTTAACAAATCGAATTTATATTATTCTATCATTAGTTATGTATCTGTGCAATGTGGCTGGAGTCATGAATTTTAACGATTTTGTGTATTCGTGCAATGAGGGGTTTAGAACGATTAAGAGGCATATTTTTTTTTTGCCAAACAAGATTCACCTTTTAATTATTCAGAAACTATCTCTTAATTGAACTATTAAGAGGTAAACAAATAACCCCTTACTATATGTTCTGTTCAGTGACGACCTGAAGTTTGATTTCACTTCTGATTGATAAGAGGTGGTATTGAAGTCTGAAATATGGATTAGTAAAAATGTTTGTTTTTACATCTGAAGTCTAAAATCTGAATCGGTCAAACTAGTGCAAGAATATAAAAGATAAATAGTTTTTGAAAAATAAATATGCATGAAAAACACACACTTATTTGGGGTTCAAAACGACCTTTGACTCCTATGATTTTGTTTGGATGGCGCTTATTTGTTTCAAACTAAACAAAACTTCTTCCATTGAAGGTCGATTCTTGGGGTCCGGTTTGAGACAACTTAGGATGAGTTTTGATGCTTTACTAGCTCCTTTTGATGGGTAATCGTTTTCTAGTCGTGGGTCTATGATTTCTTGTAATCTCCGTTTGTCGGATAACGCAGGTCGAGCCCATTCCACCAAGTTGAATTGCGAGCTAGGTCGATTAGTGCCAACAGCTCGTAATCCGATTATCATTTCTAATAACACCACTCCAAAATTATAGACGTTGTTCTTCACATATAAATGATCTGTCATAAAAAAATTGATCAACACATTTCGTGGACTATGACCTAATTTACACCAACAATAAAATTAGGATATATATATATATATATATATATATATGATATATTTCTTTTACAACCTTGTGTATTTGTACAACCCTTGCAACCCAATTATATATATATATATATATATATATATAAAGTATTGATCATAATTAATGAACTATAGTAATTTTTCATAAATATTTAAATAATAATAAATGATTTCTCATCATTTCCATAAATCTCTAAATTGATTAAGTTGCATTGGTTGTACAAATAAACATGTTTATATTTGAAATATACCCTCTCTCTCTCTCTCTCTCTCTCTCTCTCTATATATATATATATATATATATATATATATATATATATATATATATATGAGAAAAAGTTCAATTGAGAATACTTTCAGAATAACACTTTTAAAGTCAATGATATGTGATATCAAATTAGACATACCCTAATACCAAGTCCCCTTATATGTATTATCACATGAGATAAGATTGTTTTCATGCTTTCATAAAATGAAGGTGTTCTCATCTGAACCTATATATAATAAATATATCTATACTATATTATAAAGCATTTGACAAAAACTCTTAAAAAACCAATTTTTATATACACACAATAATGAGCCAGTTTTTCAGAATACATGTACTAAAGGTAGATGCATGATTGACGCTATATCAAATCATAAAATAATTATATTCCCTTCATCTTTAATATAATTTTTAATAAACTTTATAATCACTTCAATTTCCTTTATAATTTCTTTTAAATAAGTTAAACTCACCGGTATTTATGTATTCTGGAGACGCATAATAATAAGTGTCAACGGTTGTGGCATAACCATTTGCAGGACCCAAGTTTGCTAGCCCAAAATCATAGTCCATGAAAATGCCGGTCGACTCACAAGATTGCTCGTCCCTTGGACGCAAGTTTACGCATCCAAAATCCGATAATTTCGCATTAAAATCCTTCAAAAATCAAAAACAAAAAGAATGGTGTTAAGGAGGAGTTTTAATATTTATTAAAATTAAATTAAAATTAAAATTAAATTAAAATTTCACTGACCTCATCTAATAAAATATTTGAACATTTAAAATTCTTGTACACAGTTTTTATTCCAGTATTGTGTAAAAAAACAAGTCCTTGTGCTGCTTCAATCGCTATTTTAATCCTTATATTCCAAGAAAGTGGTTCTGCATGTCCTGTAAATCCCAATTAAATTTAAAAAAAATATATTATTATTTTATATTTATTAATAAATAAAATTAAGTAATAAAAACTTAAATACTTACTTCTAAAAAGATGATTTCCAAGACTACCCTTTTGCATATATTCATATACAAGAAGAAAGTCTTTGTCTTCCCAACAATATCCCAACAATTTCACAAGGTTTGGATGATTAAATTTATCCAAAAGATTCAATTTTTCCTGTAAAAAAACAGACAAAAGTTATTGGTAGCCCACTACTTGAGACTTATAAGTAGCTAACAATTCTCTATTTTTATCCATATAAGACGAGTTGTTAATAAACAAACCTGCCACCCCTTTAGGTTTTNTATATATATATATATATATATATATATATATGTTGGTTATTATACAACCCTTGACAATTGTGCAACCAATACAACACAATCTCAACCGTCCATTTCATTTGATTAATATGTGATTTTATAGAAGTTTTGATTGTTTCTTAATATAAAGTATTGATCATAATTAATGAACCATATTCATCTTCTATAAATATTTAAATCATAATAAATAAACTCTTATAATTTCCATAATTATCTTAATTTATTGGGTTGTATTGGTTGTACAAATGCGATGGGTTGTATTTGAAACAAACTCTCTCTATATATATATATATGTATATGTATATGTTACAAGAATGTAAGAAAACTCTTTTACTATAGACAATCAAATGTGATAATCTATTCCATGATATATGATATACAAATGTGATACTAAATCAAAGACACTGACAACTTTTAATGCGATCTAGGTTGCGGGCCAAGTCGCCCTTACACCAAGAAACCCTCTTTCATATATTATTACATATGATAATGGTGTTCTTGATGTGATGCTATAATTCATCACATGTGAATGTAAGGTTAAAGAAATGTGCATGTATTTAAATCATTGAAAAAATTGGAAAAAAAAACCTATTTGAAGATACATATGTGAACCCGTTGCTACATATTATTCATATGGGTTTATATATGTACTTTCAAATAGATTTTTTCACATATGAACCTTCTCCTAATCTTTTCATTTTTTTTTTTCACGATATTAATTAGTCTTTTTATTTGAATCGACATATACATATACATATACATATACATATACATATACATATACATATACATATACATATACATATACATATATAATTATATATACATACATATACATATACATATTTATTTATAATGGCTTCAATTTCCTTTATAATTTTTGAAATAAGTTGAACTCACCAGTATCTATGTGTTCTGAAGACGCATAATAATAAGTGACAAAAGTTGAGGCATAACCATTTGCAGGACCCAAGTTTGCTTGTCCAAAATCATAGTCCATGAAAATGCCAGTCGACTCACAAGATTCCTCGTCTCCTGGACGCAAGTTTACGTATCCAAAATCCGATAATTTCAAATTAAAATCCTTCAAAATTTAAAAACAAAAAAATGGTGTTAAGAAGGAGTTTTAATATTTATTAAAATTAAATTAAAATTTCACTGACCTCATCTAATAATATATCTGAACATTTAAAATTCTTGTACACAGTAATTATTCCAGTACTGTGTAAAAAAACAAGTCCTTGTGCTGCTTCGGTCGCTATTTTAATTCTTATATTCCAAGAAAGTGGTTCAGTACGCCCTGTAAATCCCAATTAAATTAAAAAACATATTATTATTTTATATTTATTAATAAATAAAATTAATTAATAAAAACTTAAATACTTACTTCCAAAAAGATGATTTCCAAGACTACCCTTCTGCATGTATTCATATACAAGAAGAAAGTCTTTGCCTTCCCAACAATATCCCAACAATTTCACAAGGTTTGGATGATTGAATTTATCCAAAAGATTCACTTTTGCCTGTAAAAAATCAATTATCATGGTGAAAGTTATTGATAGCTCACTACTTGAGACTTATAAGTAGCTAACAGCTCTCCATTTCTATCCATATAAGACGAGTTGTTAATAAACAAACCTGCCACCCCTTTAGGTTTTGGACCCTGTCCGAATTTGATCTCTTGACGGCGACGACAATCCCAACACCGACCTTCGACGGTGCGTATGTTTCACTGTCCACCCACCCTTTGTAAACC